AGGGCCGGCATTTCAGCAATAAAAACTCTACGTCTGGCGAACAGTGCTTATAAACAGTCTGTACAACTGCACACCACGAGTTATTGATAAACACACACACACCGCCTCCTTTTACTTTCCCCGAAGCAGCAGTGCAGTCTTCTCGATGTACAGAGTGAGTTTCTAACTGAATCGGGAATCTGGGACTCTGTCAGAAAGCCAAGTCTCGGTGAGAATTAGAGCACAGCATTCTCTGATTTCCAGTTGTGTTGCAATCCTAGCCCTTAGCTCGTCCAGTTTGTTTTCCAGAGAATGTAAGTTAGCTGGGTAATGGCGGTCGAGTAGCGCAAGCTTTTAGCCTAGCTTGGAGTCCTCCGCGTTTGCCTCATTTGCGCCTCCGTCTCCAGGTCGCTCTCCTGATTTCAGCCTGTTCGCTTGTGCCTGGTGCTCCGGGGACTCCCTGAAGGTGATGTGGTCGCCGCCACCGCGGACAATGAGTTGTAGCTCTGGTGGTATGAAACCAGTAAATTCCCAGTGGCTGTGTGAGTTGGCGATATCCAGCAATGTCTGTCTGTTGTATGTTAGCAGTGCATGACATTTGTGCACTGCAGAAAGAGTTTAAAAAAAAACCACACAAAAAAGAAAACGAACCAACAAACCAACCATCTCACCAGATTTACTGACCTTTCAGACCTCTTTAGCAACTTGTTTTAAAAAAAAAATTGACTAGCAACAATTCTAGCAACTTTCTGAACTGATCTGGAGGAATTGCCAGGGCTGCCTGTGAGGGAGCAGCCTTACGTGCCAGGTGTAGAAACCGGTAAATGACGTCATCAACTAATTTGCATAACATTTCATTTGTATGTAATTGTAATGGACGCTGTAGGAATAACGCCATGGGAGAAACAAAAAATGAGTAAAAAAACACCCTAAATATGTTTAGTACTACAAATGAACTTTATTATGTTGATTCTTGGTTTGTTTGTTTATTTATTTTGCCATTGAAATAGGCCATCACTTCTCAAAATAACTTCATGACTTTAATACTTTGTCTAGATCTACATTACATAAATCAATTTTGTCCTGTATTGTTAAATGTTAGAATATCAAATTTAATCAAAAGACTGTATGACATGCTGGAGGGACCATGTCTCTCGGCTGGCCTGGGAACGCCTCAGCATTCCCCCGGAGGAGCTGGAGGAAGCATCTGGAGAGAGGGAAGTCTGGGCATCTTTGCTTAGACTGCTGCCCCCACAACCCGGTTCCGGATAAGCGGAAGAAAATGGATTGATGGATGGACATACTAGGCCCTTTCAGTCTAAACCAGCCTCTATTTACATACATGTTTTTTTCAATTGAAAGTATCAGATCATAAGCTATTGTTCTGCCTTTCAGTCTTAACCTTCTTGCTAGAGATCAAGGATTTTTGCAAAATTTAAAACATATACTACAGTGGACATAATTGCTGTTGTTTCCCAAATACAAAAGCCTTAATCATGGTTTACATGATTTACACATTATAAATACAGAAAATCCACTTTTCCCTATTGACAAATGTTTGTTGAAATTCACTTTTAATTAGCTTTTGAATTTTTAGGAAGGGAACCCAAACAAAATACACATATTAAGGAAAGCTTTTTTTCTTTAGGAGCCTAGTTATTTTCCTGTTGTAATCTGAAGAGGTTCCTATTGTCTATCAGCAAGGCATCATCTGGCTGGACACCCCTTTCAGTCTATTAATAAACACTGAAATCAAAACTAGCTTTGGTGGGGTGAGTTTGAGAAGGGTGTTATGCAACCTGAACCTCTGACCTCATATTTGAGGGACAGCGTTGTTGTTAAATGATATAGTGTGCACTGAAATTGCCTAACACTTGCAGCTTCTCTTCACATGTGTAACAGGAGAGATGGCGGAAAAGATTACATCCACCCCTTCAACTGCTAAGTAGCCTATTTTCAGTGTGAGACAGAAGGAATGTGTTCACTACAGTGGGCATGCATGTCTAAGAGGGTGCTACGCTCAGTCAGCTGTACTAGGAGACTATGATATAGAAAGATACAAGCAGTCACTGTGTGCTGAATTCACTGAAGAACTTTGATGATAAAGACAATGATGTTATATAAATGTGGTTAAAGGAATAGTTCAAGATTTTTCATGTTAGTGTCAAAGCAATATTGATGTATCCCTGTGTTTGTGAGAATAGGTTTAAGTCTTTGTCACTTCTCCTACTCTCCACACTGGCCCTGAATGTTTCCACCTGGAAAGTCACTACACTGCAAAAAATAAGGGACAAATACACAACTTTTGTTTTGTATAAAGTTTATCTGACACTCAAATACAGATTCAGCTAATTTAATTTAATTTAATTTCAATTAATTGCAATTGCATGACAGATAAGCTTATATTGTTGCATGTTTGAGATAGAGTTGTTATTATAAGGCTTGTGTTTTTAGGTTTTTCCTAAAGATGAAATCTACTGTTCTTGCATGGTTTGCATCTTCAGCATTTGCCAGGGTTAAAGCTAGTATAAACTTAGAGTTGTAATTAAATGAATCCAACCTTTCACGTTTATACTACTAGGGCCAGGTATCATTCCTAAATGATACTTTTTTCTAATCCAATTTTATAAAGACAATTTTAATAAAATAAAAATACACATTACAGATCATTTGCTTGGCATTTTTTGCACTCAAAGCAGTTTTCATAACATAAAAAGTAAACCTATGGCGCCCCAGGGCTGGGTGGTTATGGCATGATGCGCCATATGACTGACAACACATTGCATTCATGATGTTGACGGATTGAGTCAGATTGTCCACGTTTGTCACAGGTCCCTCCCCTGCTCTCTCTCTGTCTCCGTTGTTTCCTGTCGGCACAAAAATATAACCTAAAAAAAGTAAACCTTAAGTTCTGTTAACATTAACATCACTAAATAAAATGTACAAAAAGCATTTTTCAATACTCAACATTTTTCAGTAATCGGTGGTATTGAAGTAATTTGATTGATGTCATATAAGTAACAAAGTTTGATAGCCAGCACTAACTACAATCTACATCCACAAATTATGAGGCTGTTTAATACTTGGTTTTTGGTTTTGTGTTTTTAGTATTTTGCCATCATTAGTGAATGGCTTGTTGGTCTTGTTAATTCTTCAGTGAACTGTCTAATGTAGGTGACAGATTTAGAATTCATTTGCAAACAGTAGCAGTCAAACAGCCGGACTCTCAGTTGAGTGAATATAAACCTACATTTTCCCATGTCCCAGGTATACGGAAGAGGATTAGGGCCACAATACAATAGTTCTGACTTTGAGTTTAAAATCAGAATTCTGACTTTTATTCCTCAGATTTCTGAGAATAAACTCAAAATTCTGAGAAAAAAGTCAGAACTCAAATACATTTTGTACAGTGGCTCTAATCCTCTTTTTTACACATAAGCCTCAGGTGGTCAGTCAGTGTTAAAATGCTGAACAAGGACCCAGGACTTCTCCAGGCCTAGTTACTCACTGATATTACTTTTACATGTGAAAAGGCATCTTTACATGTTAGCTTTTTCAGAGGGGTATGAGATTTTAGGCCATTATTTAATTTTAGTAGAATATGAGTGTATTTTGTCGTTCAAGCCATGTTTGCCTTGTTATATGAAATGGGTAGCCTAATGAAGAGATTTTTCTTAAATGTGTACTGTGACTTCCTACTCTCAGCTAACCTGACAGGCCACGTAGAGAGGGTGGGCATTGAAAACTTTGAGCTACTAAAGGTGCTAGGCACAGGAGGTGAGTACAACTGTTAAACCTAGTCTCTCTCTTTGTTGAATACAACATGACAGCCACATTAGAGTTTGCTTGTCTGACATCCAGTGTTGTGTTTTTGGAATAATAAACATGTCATACAGGTCATTTCTGTTAAGCCTCTGTTTTGAACTGAACATTCCCCTCTGCCTTTGTTTATTTTAAACACCAGCATACGGCAAGGTGTTCCTGGTGAGGAAAGTGAGCGGTCATGATGCAGGGAAACTGTATGCCATGAAGGTTTTGAAGAAGGCCACTATTGTACAAAAGGCAAAGACTGCTGAACATACACGGTCAGAGCGGCAAGTGTTGGAGCACATCCGCGAGTCTCCATTCCTCGTTACTCTTCACTATGCCTTCCAGACAGATACCAGGCTGCACCTCATTCTTGGTTAGGATATTTTATATGGAACTACCTTCATGCACAACATATTTCAACATCTGTGCTCTTTTCACTAATAAAATAAATGGTTACTGTACTGATTTCTTTTAACCTGGTAGAAGAAATGGATCACCAGATGAATGAATATATATAAACAAAAAATTGCCCCTCCCTGTAGAAAAACTAAACAGCCTGTATTATTTTGGATGAAACATGATTTACATGATATCTGTTGTTACAGATTATGTGAACGGAGGTGAGCTTTTCACACACTTGGTGCAAAGGGTGCGGTTTAAGGAGCAAGAAGTATCCCTGTACAGTGGAGAGATTGTTCTGGCACTAGAGCATCTACACAAGGTAAATCTCGGGTTCAACACTATCAAGTTGCCATGTGTGTTAAGAAGTCATTTATTGACTATCTATTGCCTCTATATAAACTTTCACTTGTCATAGCCTCTATTTCATTTTCTTGTTGCAGCTTGGGATTGTCTATCGGGACCTGAAACTTGAGAATATTTTACTGGACTCAAATGGTCATATAGTTCTCACAGATTTTGGCCTTAGTAAAGAATTTGATGAGGTACAGTATGAGGTAAAACTTCTTAATGTTAAATGCATCACAAAGGAGCGTAAAAGGTGATGGTAGCCAATTTTATAATCAAAACTGACTTATTAGTCTGTTCTGGTTTAATTGGTTTGGGGAAAAAGGGTTTTGTTTGTTCTTTATAAAAAAAAAATTTGCTTTTCAGATTGTTTTTTTCCCCTATCTGCAGTGGAGTCATTCTGTATTTTATTTTGTAACTATTTTCAGCTAATGTTAGTTTTAATTATTTCACATGAGAAAATATGTAGTTTAAACTGTTCATGAAAATGCCTAAAGATCTTTTTCTAAACTTAAACTTGTGTTTTTGCTCATTTAGTCAAAAAGTATTTAATGTCACAGAGAAATTCTTCAGCTTTGAAACCAAGTTTTATGTTTATAGCACCTTTCATTTAATTTAAAATAATAAAATTCAAACTGATGGAAGTAAAACAGATAAATAAATTAATTAAAACTAGAACTAACTGGGAGAACAAAAAAATTAATAGGATAAAATGACACATGAAATATACAGTATAAGAAGGAATATTACAGAATAAATGCTGACAGTAAATAAAAAAGAGGGGCATGAAAACAAAACAAAAAAAACTGGAAGACAGGGAAGTGACTGTTTTATACCTTTTGTGTGTGTGTGTGTGTTTTTGTTTGTTTTTTTATTTTTATTTTTTTTAACAGGTAGAACGAGCTTTCTCTGTTTGTGGCACCATTGAATATATGGCTCCAGAAATTGTGGAAGGAGGAGAGTCTGGACATGACAAGGTAGCATCCAGCTTTATGTTTTATGCTGTTGGATCAACTCAAACCACCCCAGACACCTCTTGCTGAATTTGTGTGCTCTCAGTGAGATTGTTCTTTTAGTATGTTAAGCCAGAGTCATGGGTGGGTGCTTTCATTCCAGGCAGTGGACTGGTGGAGCCTCGGCGTGTTGATGTATGAGCTTTTGACTGGCGGATCACCCTTCACCGTTGATGGAGATGAGAACTCGCACACAGACATTGCCAAGTATGGATTCCTCCCTGATCATCAGCCACAGATTTCAGTTATAATCGCTCTACAGCACTGACAATATTTGTCTCACACATCACAGGAGGATTGCAAAGAAGGATCCTCCTTTCCCCAAAGATATGGGACCACTGGCCAGAGACATCATTCAGCGACTCCTCATCAAAGATCCAAAGAAGAGATTAGGCTCAGGTCCTAATGGAGCAGAGAATGTAAAGAAACACCCGTTCTACCAGGTGGATCTCATTGCCTGTCTTGAATATTTCAGTGTTTAGAGAAACTAAATGGCAGGGTGGGATGTAATTAGACATACTGAGGCTGCTTTGAGTGAGCAGCATTTAGGAAAAGCAAGTATTTTTATAAATGATATTAACAAAGATTAGGATGGAACACAGTATTTTTTATTTTTATTTTTTAAACTCACTTTAGAAAATTAACTGGGAGGACTTGGCAGCTAAGAAGGTGCCCGCCCCATTCAAGCCAGTGATTCGAGACGAGCTGGATGTCAGCAACTTTGCAGATGAGTTCACAGAGATGGACCCCACCTACTCGCCCGCAGCTCTACCTCAGAATTGTGACCGCATCTTCCAGGTGGGAGGAATTTAAGGGATTTTAGACAACCGGACTTTTTAGTTGTTGTTTATGTACTCTCTGGAATATTCCTTTGTGCTCCTTGCAGGTCATTGCACAGGACAACACTTACAGTATATTCACATCTGTTTTGGGCTGATGTTTGTCTGGGCTTTAGCAGCAGGCAGTGTGAAATGTTGACATGGATGAAAAATCGCATTATACATTATCCACTTTTTGTCTGTGACTATATTTGACATACTCCACAGCAATTGAAGTAATCAAGTGAAGTTTTGAATGTCCTCAAAAGGTTGCTGTAAGTCAACATGAGTCTGTCTGTGTGCATTGGTATTCAAATTGACTAAAGGGCCTTTTATTGAAGTAATTGCTGCCATATGCAGCTCTTATTGAAGTAACAGATGTGAATGACTATTTTTGATGTAGCTTTGAACCATAATATGGGCTACAACTCTGTGCCAGCTGATGACTGTCTGATGTATTGCATGAAATTTCAACTCTGATTGCCTTCTGGATCCTTGAGCTCGGTAGATCAATAGATCCATTAACGGGCTTCTCTCATGGAATAAAAGGTTACACTTTGAGAGCATCACCACGTCTGTCTTGGTTACGCCTTCGGTCTTTGATTGCCAACTTCATCTTGGCTTTTTTCGCTCTCAGCTGCCATTCACATAGTCTGAAATTTTGTGGTCTTTATAATTTGCAAGTCTAGCAATCTCTGAGATAACGGCTGCAATCCCAATTTTAAACCATGCACTCGCTCCCCCACGGTGCCTCACAAAACAAAATTAAAATTGCATTAAGAGCGCTAAGATGTAATTTCACAGCAGAGCAATCAAATATTCAAGCCCAGCAATTTAGGGCATCTCATTCATTCAACATCCATCCTTCCGTCCATCCATGGCTGTCACTACATACCACACAGCTGTGTGTGTGTCAGTGATAAAGGAAGAGAAAGATTACTGCCAGCTCAAAGCGCTGGGCTCCCCACAGCTGGAATTAAGCAGACAGCTCTTCACAATGACAGGTCTAACAATAGGAACAGCTGGACAGCCACTGTCACTCACAAATTAACTGAACCAGAATTACTGTGGAGCTGACATGCTACTTTGACATAAGAACATTTGAAGAAAAATGCACAAGAATTTTTATATGAGTTTTATATGAAATGTATAGAACACATTATGTATCTATAAATGTTTATAAAATATAAAATAAAGTACGTTGGTATTTCATTGCTGCAGTCTTTTCTGAGGTTGTTATTTGCACCAGTGGAAATGTTCTTTTCCTCCTGTCTGTATAGTCAACCCTCACTTTATGTATTAGAAAATGTAAATACTAAGGGTTCATGCGGTTTGTTGTGCAGGGCTACTCTTTCATGGCCCCCTCAATCCTCTTCAAGAGGAATGTGGTGATGGACGACCCTGTCCAGATGTGTGGGGACTCTGAGAGACCGGGCTCTGCTGCGGTGGCCCGCAGCGCCATGATGAAGGTAAGATAAATAGACTCCTCCTGCACAAACACACTTAAGCTAATGGCTCCTGTCACAAACAGATGAGACTGTCCTCCTTCCTTCCCATTCCTCTAGAACTGTTTTCTGCTGCACCCAAGTATAGTTTTCAAGGATGGGTCTGTTTATTTAAAGAAGTTTGTCCATGAATGCACTTGTGTACTGTATCTGTACAACATAATCGGAATGCTTTTTGAGACTAGCAGTGCACTCATTATTTTCAAGCTTTCTTTTAAAGTTCCTGGTTATCTGCTGTTGCAATTAATCATCATAATGCTCAGAAGCCTTTTCAGCAATGTTAAATTAATTATAGCCTACTTACAGTGGCATCAGAAAGTATTCATACTTCTTCATTTTATGCACACTTTATTGTGTTGCAGATTTAATTTTAAACTGATAAAATTGCCATTTTTTTTGCCCATCTATTTACACCCAATAACCTGTAATAACAAAGTGAAAACATCTGTTTAGAAATAATAGTTTTATTAAAAATCACAAACTGAATTCTGTCCTTTACAACAGTATTCAGAGCCTTAATTCAGTACTTTGTAGAAGTTACAGCTTTGAGTCTTCTTGGATAAGTCTCTACCAGCTTTACTTACCTGGATTTGGGCAGTTTATCCAGTTCCTCCTGGCAGATCCTCTCAAGCTCTGTCAGATTAGCTGGGAAATGTCTGTGAACTTCCATCTTCAGGTCTCTCCACACATTCTGTGAGGTTTGGCTGGGCTTTGGCTAGGCCACTCAAGGACAGTCAGAGACCTTTCCTGAATCCATTCCAGTTTTGTTTTGGCTGTGTGCTTCACATCACTGGCTTACTGAATGGTGAACTGTCTCCTGTTCTTACCGTTGAGAAGCACCCCACAGCATGAGGCTGGCTTCTCTCTAGCTGCTCTACCATGAAGGCCTGACTGATGCAGTGGTGCTGAGATAGTCATCCTTCTGACAGGTTATCCCATCTCAGCAGAAGACTTGTGCCTTCTTGCCCTGTTAACTAGTTCCTCTTTGCAGGACTCACCTTTCTATGTGAGTTATGAGATGGACCTAAAGGACAGTGCTCTGGGAGAGGGAAGCTTCTCCATCTGCAGACAGTGCACACACAAGAAGACTGGACAGAAATACGCAGTCAAGATTGTCAGCAAGAGGTACCACCTGCTCACTGAGATGTTTTTCAGCCTAGATCAGCAATTCCAGACTGTGGCTCTCCCTGAAAGGCTTAACAGATGCACTCCAACTTGTCCAAGTCCTTAACTTAAAACCAGAATATTGTCATTTAATTTTATTTCAGATGACAGTTATTACATGTGCACATCACAATACAGTGATGTAAAAATTAGTTGATAATCAGTTGAATATTTTAGAAATAAATTTTGCCTGTGTGTAGCCACATAGGGTGAAGTGATGTTAAGATCAAGATGTATGACTAATAATGTTAAAGTGGACTCAGTTCATTCAGCGTACTTTGTTTTGCATAGCGAGTGCATGTGTAGGTGACTGTCCATATTACTGAAACAGAGCAGAGGAGGCTGATAAACTGGTCCGCCTGCTTACTTTTTATGGTTGTAATGACAGCAGTAGTCGGTGAGAGAGGGGGAGAGAGAGTGAGCTGCGAGCACAACAGCTGTTTCAACAGAGTGATTGTTGTTTGTGCTCTGATTTAATGAGGTTTTGAGTTTGGAAAAGTAGCCTTATATTGTTGTATTGTAGCATTTCTGAGGCTTTTGCGTGGTTAAATCAAGGAATTTTATTTTATGAAACACTGCCACTTCATCCTGGTGCTGGGCTGTAGTACTACTGCTGGTAGTAGTAGTAGTAGTAGCAGGAGCAGTGGTAGTCAGGGGTGGGCTTACATAGGTGAGGTCTTTCTTTGTATCTTCAGTGAGAAGTGGTACTTGGGATATTTGGTTTGGTACATGGGAACCTTTGGCCTAGATAATTTTGTCCCTGTGTGGTGTTGGTGCGTCAGCCATATCTAAACAAATCCTAACACAAGCCTAGTTTTTTTTTTTGCTGGCAACCACTACACTCCTCTGTTGACAATATGGCTCTCATAGGAGCGAGCCTCACTGGGACACAAAGAAATATTCTTTAAGTCTAGATAGGCATTTGGAAAGTAAGTCACACAGCATGACCATGTTTTCTAACACAGGACAGTTTCGTCTTTTGTAACATCTACTTTTGCATAAAGAACATTCATACATCATACTGTAGACTGTGAAAAGTCACTTTCTCACTCTACTGTGCATGTACAGTATGCTGTATTGTGTGACAGTCATCTGTCTTCCTGCTTGTTTGCTGTAGGATGGAGGCACAGACTCAGCGTGAAATAGCAGCTCTGAAACTCTGTGATGGCCACCCTAACATTGTCAAGTTGCATGAAATTTATCATGACCAGGTAAGGGTCATGGCTGCGTTTACATCCAGCACCATAAGTTCTGTTTTGCGTGGCTCTCTGTGGAGCCTGTGGGGGCTGCAGCCTTTACAAGTTCTAGAACTGGAACAGGGTAGATTAATGTAGCTGGGAGCCCTCGAGCTCTCTCTCTGTCTCACCCATCTTACCATGTGCTTGATATTTCACACCAAATGTATTTTTAAACTGCAGCTGTACAAACACCCATTTTGTACTACTGAATAGAAACAACCTAGATTTCAAACAACCTACATTCACTTGTGTTGCTAATTGAGCTGCACCCTCAACCCAAACTGAGTGTGCATATGTTCCACACGTAGCTTATCTCAGTTATTGGGAAGCTGTGTCCGTGAGTCTGACTGTGTACAGATTCATTAGCCCTGGTCCTTCAAGCCCAGGAGCACCACTTTAGTCCTGATGAGCTCAGTGGGGTTATTACTGTACCTCAGAGGTCTGTGACCCAGATCAAAGCAGCGCTGCCTCACCTCAGCTGAGTCCTGTCTTTGTTTCCCAGGCACAGCACTAATGAGAAACTCTACCCTGCTGCAGAGACACATTATTTCCTTCCCACTTTGTTTGAGCCCTTTTTTGTTTTTACTGAATACTGTTATGGTTTGATCTCACCGTCATGGGCTCAAGGATAAAGAAAAAAATTCCCACTCACTATTTCACATGTTAATATTGAACTGTTTTCAACTTGCAGTTCAAACTGGAAGCAGCACTGATCTTAGAATAGTTAAATAAGCCTGTCAATATTTGTTTGATTGCAAAGAATATGGGAATGTTTGCACCTCCTCTACTGTTTCAGAGCATATCAAAGAGTAAAGGGTGTAACGGAGAAATGCAAATATGTTCTCTCTGTGTGTTTGCTAAAGCTCCACACGTACCTGGTTCTGGAGTTGCTTGGTGGAGGAGAGCTGCTGGAAAGGATCCGCAGGAAGCAACATTTCAGTGAAACAGAGGCCAGCCACATCATGCGCAAACTAGTGTCTGCAGTCAGTCACATGCATGACGTAGGAGTGGTGCACAGGGACCTTAAACCGGAGGTAATGGATGTATACTTTTCTTTTCTTTCTTTATTTCTTTTCTATCTGAGCACAGTTTGTGTCTTTGGTGAATACAGAGACACTGGATTTGAAAAGAGAATTACTGTGTTTTTGTGAACTTTGTATGATTTGTGGTATTGTCCCTCTGACTCTGCAATCTTCCACAGAGCAAGAGTAAAATTGTTTGACCCTAACATGGGTCAAAAGTACCTGGCCAGACAAGTCTTGATGTCCAATTTAGTAAGCTCTCAAGTGGACCGGTTTTGCAGAGCAGAAAGAAATGATTGCTGTCCGTGTCTTGAATTGCTTCGTAGAACCTGCTCTTCACAGATGAGAGTGAGGACTCTGAGATAAAAATCATAGACTTTGGCTTTGCTCACCTCAAACCACCAGACAATCAGCTCCTGAAGACTCCCTGCTTCACCCTGCAGTATGCTGCACCAGAGATACTCAAATACGATGGCTACGACGAGTCCTGTGACCTGTGGAGTCTGGGCGTCATTCTGGTGAGTAGATGTGGGACAACAGAACCACGTTCAGGTTAAAACACGTCACTGGCACCTGCGGCTGTCTTGATGCTGAATCATTATTCAACTCAAAATTATTCTGAGGGTAAAGAAACGCATCAGCTGCACATTATCTCAGTACTCCTTAATTTAAAAATACATCTTTTATTTTAAAGCAGTTTAAAATCGAAATGTAACAGGAAAGACAACTTATTTTATTGTACCATGTCTTGCAAATGTTGCTTTGGCTGTCAGATTTCTTTTTTTTTTTTTTTTTT